GTGGTTCCCTCAGCGCGGCCGCTATGCACGACGGTCGTCCAGGGCATAGCAGGCGTGGCACATTCTCGACGCCATAGGGGGTGCGCAGGGGATGGTCCCTCAGCGCGGCCGCTACGCACGACGGTCGTCCAGGACATAGCAGGCGTGGGTGCGCAGGGGGTGGTCCCTCAGCGCGGCCGCTATGCACGACGGTCGTCCAGGGCATAGCAGGCGTGGCATATTCTCGACACCATAGGGGGTGCGCAGGGGGTGGTCCCTCAGCGCGGCCGCTATGCACGACGGTCGTCCAGGGCATAGCAGGCGTGGCATTTTCTCGATACCATAGGGGGTGCGCAGGGGGTGGTCCCTCAGCGCGGCCGCCATGCACGACGGTCGTCCAGGGCATAGCAGGCGTGGCATTTTCTCGACATCATTGGGGGTGCGCAGGGGGTGGTCCCTCAGCGCGGCCGCCATGCACGACGGTCGTCCAGGGCATAGCAGGCGTGGCACTTTCTCGACGCCAGACGGGGTGCGCAGGGGGTGGTCCCTCACCGCGGCCGCTGGCTGCCTCGAATCTGTCCTCGATGGAGGATAGAAGGCTAGGAAGAGGGAGGAGGTTCAAGCTATATGGCGTTTGATGACACACAGGGGAACATTCGCGACGAGGGCTCAGAACGCAGAATTGCGCATATATCATGAACTTAAGCAAACACATAATATTTAAATTAAGTATGTGGGGTTCCTCGATAGCGTAATTCATCTGGCGCTCCTCGCGCACCACATTCTGTGAAGGTTGGGGCCAGCCAGGGGCTTCGGCTCACCTAGGGATCTTTTTGGCACTACTTTGGCTCTGTGCCTGTATGCGGATGTACGTTGGGCCAAGTGCGTCTGGTGTCGGGTCGTGCGTGCGTCGGCGTAAGCGGGCAGGCGTAATCATGGGTCCAGAGTTGAGCACCGAAAGAGAATGGGGCTGGGTGCGCGGACATGCGCTTATAAGCCGCCCGCGTTAGGTCGCGCGTAATGTCGTCCGTATCCGCTCTTTTTTTCACGTGGTGGTTCTTGCCGGCCGTCTGCGAAGTCCACCGCGCAAGTTCGGAACGTTCTCAGGCGTGTTAATGTTCGCCCTCCCCTCGCCGCTCGACAGTGCGCTCCTGCGTGCTGGAGTGAATCCTGCACGCGTGGGATTTCGAGTGGCCCGCGGGGTGCTCGTGGGTTGCCTCTTGGGACATCCTAGGGCCTTCTTGGAGCGGACGCTGCCCAGCCTCGCGTGCCTGGGGGTGGGCGCCGCGAGCCCTGAAACCGGAAGATGCCGCAACTGGGCACTGAGACAGCAGGAGCGGGAGATGAAGCTCCAGGCGGCAAGGCATTCATTTCCCAGGGTGGGGTACACAGTCAGCTCGCATAGTAAGTATGAGCTGCATCTTTCCCCTTCGGCCCATCCTGGGTCGCTTCCGCTGGACGCGCCCCGCTCGCAAAGTGCCGACATGGCCTTCCAAGCCCCCTGCATCCTTATCGTGCGTCCTTATTGTACGGGTTGGCTGCTTTTTCTCTGGTGACGGGCTCCTTTTTTCAGGTGTGTGGTTGCGTTGGTGTCGCTTTCGGGCTTTTCTCCCCATCGTCCCTCTCTTCCTCGGACGGGTCTCGAATCGAGGCAAATCCGTTCCAGAGCGTTCCGGAACGCTCTCGCAGCATTTTGGAACGCTGTAAAACGGCCGCAGCGCCCGATACATACTCCAAACCCGCCGATTCTCAGAGATCTCCGATGTATATCGATCTGTTTTGGGCTCGATTCTGCCTTCGTCTTACCTCTTCGTTCCTCCTCCCGTTCCAGCTCCTGCACGCGGTCTTGGTCCTGCCCCTGCTCTCGGGTAGGTCCAAACTCGGGTCTCGGGGAAACTGTTTACAAGGTGGAGGGAAAAGCACACAGACACAAATAATCACTTGTTTCCCAGGAAAGACGGAAAATATGGAAAGTGGATTGGAAGTCCAGAAAATATTGAAAATATCGGGAATCTTGGGATTTGTGTCTATCTATATCGTGTGTCACGGGGCCCCTTGAATGTACAGGTGGGGCCAGCCAGGTCGTCGAATCGATTCAACGCGAAAGGCTCCCGCGGCAAACAAAACTTTATGGAGCCTTGCAGGCACCGAAGGGCGCCAGGAACGTGCTCGGGCGGAGAAGCGTGGTCTTGCAGCGGAGGATGCAGCTGGCGAGAATCGGCGTCGGTACCCGCCCGCGCCGCTTACGCCTTTGCTTATTGTTTTCGCGGTTGAGACTGGCGGCTGGGTCGGGTCCGTTGCGAGGCAGCTGATCTTGGAGCACCTGGACTGGTTTGACGGCGACGTCGTCTTCTGACAAGAGTTCTGCTCTTCCGCAGACGACGGTGGCTGAGCAATTGCTCAGTGCCCATGCGCCTGTTGTCGTCGGGGGCGGGCGCTGAGCACTGAGGGCCGCCTGCTGGCCTGCGGGCCGCCAGTCGGCTGTTCCATTCCGTAACTGTGATGACTCAGTCTCCGCCTCCTCTTCCTCCTCCTCCTCCTCCCTCTCCTCTTTCTTGCTTTCTTGTCACCTTTTTGCTCTTGCGTCGTGGCTCTCGCCGCCCTGCTTGCCCCTGCTCGCGCGGGGAAGCCTTAGGCTCCGGGCCTGGTGCCCCCCTTTCTTTCTGGGGGGCGGTGGGATGAGAGTCCGCCTTGCCTTTCAACTGCTGGCCTCCCTCTGGCGCGCGCCGGGCTTGTCCTCATTGCCTCCTCCCTGTTGCGCTCGCCCGGCTCGTTCCGGGTAGTGGGCGGAATCCAACGACCCCGGGGGGCGGCCTTCAACGAAGGTTGCCTCCGATTCCTTTGCGAATGTATGCTGTGGACATCCTTTTCACACGCCTGGCCCCAGTGAACCATCACAATGGGGGATGGTTGCTGGGGCCACGGTTACAGCGGGCGGAGGAGGAAGTGGAGGATGCTGAGGATGATGGTGATGGTGGTGATGATGAGGTTGGTGATGCTGATGATGATGATTATTATTATGACCATGTTGCTGATGATGTTGCTGCTGATGATAATGATGATGCTGATGCTTTTGCTGCTGATGAGGAAGAGGAGGATGAGTAGATGATGGTGCTGCTTCCGATGATGATTCTGATGATGTGGATGCTGCTGACGATGCTGCTGCTGTTGATGATGATGCTGGTCATGATGATGCTGCTGATGCTGATGATGATGACGGTCATGTTGATGATGGTGAAGTTGATGACGACGAAGATGTTGATGATGATGATGCTGAGGATGGTGGTGTTGCTGTTGCTGGTGATGCTGATGCTGATGGCTGGTGATGGTGATGCTGATGATGATGTCGATGCGGATGATGCTGATGATGACGATGATAATGATGATGCTGATGCTGATAATGAGGATCATACCTAGTATGATGATGATGCTGGTGGTGATGCTGATGATGATGATGGTGGTGGTGGTGATGATGATGCTGTTGCTGCTGATGATGGTGATGATGATGGCGATGCTGATTTTGATGATGATGATGAGGAGGAGGAGGACGAGGACGAGGACGAGGACAAGGACGAAAAGGAAGAGGATTCTGTTGAGAAGGGTGACGGGGAGGGAAAGGGAACGGGATGAACACAGTATGAGGAGTAACTATGTGTCACAGATCGGCACCACTTGCAGCCTTGGGACTTGATCCCCTTCCATCCCTCCGCCTTTTGCCCTTCCTTGTCCTCGGCCTCCTGACCCCTCGCCTCCAGTTCGCCCCTTTTTTATCCTCGCCCCCTTCCTCCTGCTCCTCCTCGTCCTCCTCGTCCTGCTCCTCGTCCTCCTCGTCCTGCTCCTCGTCCTCGTCGCCGTCGTCGTCCTCCTTCTTCTCCTCCGACCTCCTGCCCCTCCTATTGGGCCGGTGTCAGTAGGTTTCGCCCGATCGGTTTCGCCCTGGGGTCGGTTCCCCTGGGGTCGGCCTGGCCTTGTCGGCTTCGCCGTGGTCGGTTTCGCCTGGTCGGTCGATCGGTCTCTCCCAGTCTCGTCGCGGTTGGTTTCGCGGAGTCGGGTTCGCCGCCATCGGTTTGCCTTGTCGGTTTCTTGTGGTGTGTTTCTCGGGCGGGGCTAGGACGAGGAACGCTCTCAGAGTGTTCCAGAACGCTCTGGGAAGGCCCCGGCGCCCGATACATCCTCCAGAACCGCCGGATCTCAGAGATTCTCGATGCCTGCGGTGCAAGCGTGGTCTGGCCCCGAAGGGGGGAACGTCGGGGAATATTACAAACTACACGTAGAATCCATACCCCCCGAATCCGAAATTTAGGTCTTCGGGTTGGGTTGGGGTGGTCTGGTAGGTAGTCAGAGGGCGGGAGACGACGGCGACGAGGGTGGGAGAGGACTGACGACGACGACGAGGACGACGACCGCAGGAGAAGCCGACCGCCAGAAGAAACCGACAACCGGCCAAACCGACCGCTGGCGACACCGACTTGTACGTTTTCGGGTCCGTTTTTTTGTTGTTTATTGTTTTTTCTCTGTGGGGGCTGGGATCCTCTCTCTCTCTCTTTCTCTTTCCGCCCCCCAAACAGCGTTCTAAAAGCACAGTTCCTCTCCCCCTCCTCCTTCCCGCCTCCTGCTGTCCCCTGTTCCCCTTGCCTCCTCCCCCTATCTCCTTACCCATTTACCTGCGCCCCCGCCAGATGATGGCTTGTTTCGCGCTGTGGATGGGGGGCTCCATGATCTCGAACTCGCTGACCAAGACCAGTGCCCCCATCCCCGCCTCCGCGGCGAGGGAGGAGGTGGATGTGGTTAGATTTAGTGTTTGTGTGCTTGTTTTTGCTTGTTGTGGCTGGTTGTAGGTAACCTTCTCTCATCATGATATCCAACTGCCTGTGGCAAGTCTCGCCATTGTGCCAGTCCAGCATTATGGGTGACGG